TTAATATTCACTCTTATTTAACCCATACAACTACTTTATAAATGAGGAAATACAGGCACAAGGGAAAACTCAGGGTCATATAGCTATAAATGCTACATATCCACAATATATCTATCTATATATATATACTGCATCCATAATAGATCTATACTGCAGATCTGCTATTAGTCTGAGAAATGCAATGTCCCTACTAAGAACACCCATATGTCTTCATGCAGCAGGTGAAGGCACAGATGAGTTAGAAAAAAAATGAAACCAGGGGAATTGTGAAGACGTGATCTCTAGTGATCTTATGAAGAGAGAAGGATACTTGGAACAAATCACTTAGATTCCTCCAGAGTTATAATCGCTCCTGTCCACAGTATCCTTCTTACCTAGAGACTACCACCTTCAAGGTGCATCTGACCTCTTAACATCATTCCTCATGATCACTTGGCTCTGGAGACAAGGGGAGCTTGCATTCCTGGTCACTTGGGGCTGTAATAATTGAAGGAGCTCACAACCCTGTCTGGCACTCTGATTTTGTGACTGCGGCCAGGGGACACCTGTACATTGCCTGGTTTTGGTGACCAGTTGGGCTTACACTCATGGGTTGAACAGAACTGTAACCAACAGAAAGAGTTTTAAACAGCTACCAACCCCAGGGCAAAGCAAAAGGCAAGCGACCCAGAGCTCAGTTTTTTGGTGAAGGAGGCCTGTTAGTCAATCACTATGACTGGGACCTTATGGGCAGGCCCCTACTTCAACTTGCATGTAGGGGCACACTTAATCCTTTCCAGAGACTTTGGAGTGCTATCTTCACATTCGCCCTCTACTGAACTCCAGAGTGCCAGTGTCTCTGGGAGGGGAGCTCCTACAAACAGTTCTGGGACAACTGGACAGGCACATGCAAAAGAATGAAACTGGACTACTACCTCACACCATACACAAAAATTAACTCAAAATGGATTAAACACTTGAACATAAGACCTGAAATTATAAAACTCCTAGAAGAAAAACATAGGTAGCAAGCTCCCTGACATACGTCTTGGTGATGATTTTTTTAACGTGGGAACAAAAGCAAAAATAAGCAAGTGGGATCACATCAAACTAAAAAGCTCCAGCACAGTAAAGGAAACCATCAAAATAAAAAGGCAACCAAGTGAATGTGAGAATATATTTATAAATGATATGTGTGGTAAGAGGCTAATATCCAAAATATATAATGAACGCATACAACCCAACAACAAAAAATTAAATGATCCAGTTAAAAGGTGGGCAGAACATATGACTAGACATTTTTCCAAAGTAGATACACAGATGAGCAACAGGTACATATAAAGATTCTCAATATCATTAATCATCAGGGAAATGCAAATCAAAACTATAATGAGATATCACTTCATATGTGTTAGGATGGCTAATATGAAAAAGACAAGAAAAAACAAGTGTTGACAAGGATTTGGAGAAAATGTACACCTTTGTGCACTGTTTATGGGAATATGAATTCATGTGACCACTATGGAAAACAGTATGGAGGTTCTTCAAAAAATTTAAAATAGAACTACTGCATGATTCAGCAATTCCACTTCTGGGTATTTATCTGAAGAAAACAAAACACTTGATTCTAAGAGATATATGCACCCCCATGTTCACTGAAGCATTATTTAGAACAGCCAAATATGAAACAACTTAATTGTCCTTTGTTGGGTGAGTAGATAAAGAAACAGTAGTGTACATACATATAACAGATTATTATTCAGGCATAAAAAAAATGAAATCTTGCCATTTATGAGAATATGGATGGACCTCACAGGTATTATGCTAAGTGAAATAACTCACACAGAAAGACAAATAACACATGATCACTTTCATATGTGGAATCCAAAGAACACCCCATAAAAACCAAGTTTATAGATGCAGAGAACAGACTGTTGACTGCAAGAGGTGGAGGCGGGGGTGGTTAGTGGAAGAAGTAGGTGAACTGTTTTGTTTTAGTTTAAATAAATTTAATTAAAAGAAATACCAGTCCTGCTCGAAATGTGAGAAATTGGCTTGATGGAAAAGCACAGGGCACATGAAATAACTGCTGGATTCTACACAAAAATTAATGCAAAGAAGAAACTCTAAAATACCATTTAGTACTTCATGAAATCTTGATGATCTGAAAGACTGTCTTCCAGAAGAATCTATGCTTACTCAGGAAGGTTCCTAAGTGGCAATAAATATTCACCTATGAACCTAACTCCATAGGGCATACCCTGAAAGATTAAAAAGGAAAATAAGACTTACAGGAAGTATTCTGGAAGCTGCTGAGATTTAAATATATCCTGAATCTATGACAGCAAGCCAAAAAAACAACATTCAAATGCAAGACTGATTTCCCAAGACAAAAGTTAGGTTGGAGTCCTTAAATGCCTGTGCCTGCATAAGAATCAGCTAGTCAGAATACTTACTGTAGGAGAAAAAGCAGTAGCCTAGGCGTACAGTTATGTTCCCTCCCTGAACCTGGGAGAATTGAGTAAGACACAACTGATGTCACATTTCTTCTTCTGTTTAAGGAAGAATGGTAGGCTTGGAAATTTGTTCAGACCTTTTACAAATCTACAGTTACAATTCTGTAGCTTTAGAGAAGCAGCCCCATTTCTGAATTCTTCCCAGATTCAATTACTAACACTAAGCACAAGAGAAATTTAAGAAACAAAGGTGTCTCATTTGAAAGTAATCTGACCAGTAATACAATAAATTATATTCCTAACTCTTCCAGCATTTACACTTCCAGGCATGTCTCCTAAACAAACAAATCCTTTGCTTATTTAAAACTGTTGAGTTCCTCTGGGAGCTAGTTAGATGGCTCACACTAGGATACCAGGTCTGTCAGCACTCCCCTCTGCACACTGGTTCAGTTCTGAGTGAAAAACCACCAGATTCCCCCAAGTAGTTGGGCCTACCTGCATCTTTCCTTTACTCTCACAGATGAGCTACGCAGGAGTACAGAGAAAAACTGTTTATGAAGTTTCTATCTAGAGTTCTAGGCAAAGGACGCAGATTGCTAAACAGAGAAGTGATAGCTTTCTAAGACAATTTAGATATCACCCAAATCACTCTTAGACAAAGGTTTGAATAAAAACACTAAGGCCAATAAATCCCACCCTATCTCTTATCTCTGTTACACTTTGCCAATGTCTCTAGCAACTTTGTTCCCTGCTACTATCCTAAGCTCACAGTGCTACAGCCGCGCTGGTCCCTCCTGCAGATAAGGCTTCCATTCTCATACCCCATCCCCAAGGCCCCCAGAACCAAACACACATCACACTCCATGGAACTGCCTTGAATTGTAGAAAAACCATTCAACACCTAGCGTCCTCACTGAGTGCTCTGCCAACTTCTTTGTTCTCTGCCTGCTTCCAGTTCTGTGCCACAGATACCACACCCCAGTGGGTGATGCTCATTCTCACCCTCGCTGGGAATTTGGAAGAAGGGGGCTAATATTTTTTCTAAGTTCCCTCCCACCACTAAGATACTACTCTCCTACCCTCGTTTCAGAAGCTAATCTCCACTCTGACACCTCCTTTAATGCCCACTCCACCCAGCACCCCATCGCTCTTAGTAAATAAACTTTCCCGTGGTGAAAAAAACCAAGGTCATTGGGCAAGAATCTATTTGGATTCTTGTACCTGCATTTGTACCGTCCTTTCGTCCCTGGCAACTGTCTGTGGAGGAGGGTAACTCCCTCCTATCAAACTATCAAAGCTTAATCTCTCTAGGTGGGCAATGTTCTCTCCCTCCATCCTCTCCGTGTACTATGCTTAATCACCACCTTTCTAGCATCTACATGGACCTTTTCTGTATCTTTCCTATCCTTTATGTGTGTAGTTATGTATACACACACACACACACACAACTCCCCCACACCTTAATTCAACAGTAACTTCCAGTTGTCTAGGTAATAGCAGTCTATCTGCCTCTTTTTGTGCCCAGGACTCAAAACACTCATCTGTTCTTACTATGTCCAATTTCTGACCTACTCAATTCTCAGCCACTACTCTCCAATATCCCCTCTATAGAAACTGTTCTATGCTTACCAAAGACATCCATGTGTCCAAACCCCTTGAAAACTTTTCTGTTTTTCTACCTTGACCTCTATGTAGAATGTAACAATAGTCTGTGATGATCCTTTTGTTAAAATGGTTTTCCTTTTTTTTCTATGCAACCTCTAGTTCATCAATTTCCTTCTACACTATGTTCATTTCACTACCCTATTTTCTTTCTCCATTCATACCTTAGATATTGCTGCTTTGCAGGACTCCAATTTTGGCCCTATGCTCTTCTTATTCTTTGAACTACCCTGGGTAACTATTCAAATCCTGGAGTTTCACCTGTACTTGATCTTGCTCCCAAATATCCATGTCAGGATAGGTCTCAACATCAATCCCCAGAATGATATATCTAACTGACTCTACTTCACTTTGTTTTCCTATGGATACTTGAACTCCCAACATGTCCCAAACCAAACTCATTGTTTCCCTTCCAACCTGTTAATGCTCTTATAATAAAATGTTAAAGAATTAGTGGTCCCACTAATTCATCTAATTTCTAGTCCGGAAACACAAATCATCCTCAACTACTTCCTCTCACCCCCAACATATTAACAGTCACCAATTCCAGTAAATTCTCTAACTCTTAAACCTATTCTCTCCTTAACTTGTCCTCAAGTACATCAAGTGATTAAGTTATTAAACTCAACTAATCTCCCATTCTCTAAGCAAATAGTCCATGTAATCCATTTTGCTCACAACTGCAAGAACACAAAACTGTACAAATTGTACATTTGTACAAATTTTTCAATTTTAAGCATGTGAAATCCTCATAGTAGTAGTCTAATATAGATTTGATTCATAATAAAATTTCTGATTTTCTGTATTTTCCAAATGTTCTACCATAATCTTACCTTTTTTTTAAAGTAGAAGCAAAAATAGAACTATTTTATAATGTGACAACAAAGATAAATGATGTCATACCAAGCATCAGTGGCATATCTAGAAGACAACATTCCTGTATATGCTGAGGCCTTGGAAGCAACTTGAGTCCCAGGGAGTTGATATAAAGGCAAATCTTCTTGCTCCCTTCTTTGAAGCACAGTAGGAAGTTCAACAAGCAAACCAGGACCTTGGGCATCATTTGAAATCATCATGCCTAAAAAACAAACCCAGAGGAACAATGAACACAAGATGCTTTCATTTATTCTTCATTCATTCAATAAATAGTTATGGGCACCTACTATAGGCAGGCCCCATCCAAGTAGAAGTAATTTATATTAAGCTAATAAATAAACAAAATATTTAATCTGTCAGATGGTAATAAGTACTGTGATGAAAAATGAAGCAAGGAAGGGGGATAGGGATTTCACAAGAGTTACAATTTTAAGCATAGGTTCATTGAAAACATTTTATCAATATGAATATTTTATTTAATTTACTTTAAAATATCCCCTTTATGATGGTATTCTAATAATACTACTAAATTTCCTTTATCAATCTAAGTTATCCTAATTACAGGCACTCCCACATTTCACTGATTTAAAAAAATAATTCCACAAAACAACTAACCAAATAAAAATACTCACATTTTCAAAGAGCTTTGTTGATAAATTTCAGAATTCTTGTACATTTGTTACCTCATTTAATTCTCACATCAAACTATGAGTTAGAGAGAAAAGAGACTAGCAGTCATATCTTATAGATGGGGAAACTTGGGTTAAGGAATTTTTCCAATTGGAATGTGCAAATTTACCTGACATGCCATCTGTGTCATTTTGCCATTCACTGAGAAAAATAACTAGGGCAGAGCTGTGCAGAGCCCTGTGGCACACGGTTAGAGCCCTGCACCCACAGTGGCACCAATCCATGAACCTCTCTAAGGATACACTCCAGTAATCCACTACAAATTCCAAGCCAATCTTTCTTCACCATGTTGTACAAAGATGATGAATTGTGATCAAACACATTCCTTAAATTCATACATTTTTAGTGCATTTTGGAGATCTGGCTTATTAAAAAATCAGAAATGATCTCTAAGAGATAGAGATATTGTTCCAAAATTTTTTCTATAAGCATTACCTAAATTCTTTCCATTTCTTCATATTCAACAAATTACCTAGTCAACTCACTACTACTTCTGCTTTTTATTTTGTCTCAAAACTTGGGAATCAGGAACTGAGCAGGTGGTAATGCAACAGAGAATCTGAAGAGGGGGTGAAAATAACTGTAATGCTCAGGTGGTCTTAAAGGAAGTCCCAGATGCCACTTCCTCCAGCCCTCAAACACCTTCTCTCCCAGGCACTGGGGCCTAGTTCCTGCAAAGCAGTCAAATCCACATCATTGCCACACTGTTCTGGCTTTTACTTCTCTGCAAAGCAGTCAAATCCACATCATTGCCACACTGTTCTGGCTTTTACTTCTCTGCCTCCCACAGGGAGTGGAATGAAGATCTGGCAGCAATGGCCTAAAACCACTTTAGAGATAATCGCAGAGCTATTTCCCACCCAGCTGTGTTGGTAAAAGCAACCTGTTAAGTGACAGCATTGAGTTTCACAGGTTGCTGCAGTTTGCTTAAAACTTCACCGCCTGCCTCACACAAAGACTGCCCGTGCCCTTCACCCTCCTCCTCCTCCACGGACCCCTGCTAGTGCTGCGCTCATGCACATACTTCTCATCTCTCACACTGCTTGACACGGTTGCACTTTACAGAGCTGTTCACAAACTGTAGCACAGAACCTAGGAACTCATAAAACAAATCAAGTCCTCGAGGGCCTGTGTAGTTGTTAGGTAATGGCAGGAGCACAAAGGTTAGAAAAACAGGGAAGTTAGAAAAAAATGTTCCTGGACAAATGGAAGTTAATACTTACAGGAGAGGACTGGGGGAAATTGTCAAACGTTTATACTTGCTGAGGTGCAACAACAGAATGGTCAACAAAATAAAGACAAGAAAAATCCAAGTAGAGAGGAGAGTGGGTTACTGTATAACTTAGCATCTGGAAACAAAACGAAACAGTAGAGACCTGTTATGCGTTTGGATAACCACAAATGAGCAGCACTTCACTTCCTCATTCAGCAAATATTTCTTGAGCCCCTACTATGGTAACATAATCAGACACAAGCCTTGCTCTCCAGAAGCTTAGTTGTTCATAGTAAGAGAAAGGCACGCAAACAAGTATGTGTGCCTGAGTCTTGGGTGCATGGACAGAAATTCACCCAGGCTTCTAAAATTGTCTGTTACTAATAAAGTGGTTAAAGAGCTGCACATTTGAAAGAGGCCTTCAAAGACCAATTAGCCCAAATCCTTCATTTTACAGTTGAGGAAAAGGAGAGGCTTAGAGAGGCCTGAGATTACCTGGTGATACAGCAGGTTAACAGTTTAGTACAGAGGAATCTGGGACTGAAAGTCTTCCCTTTGCTGGACAGGGATCTCAAGAGCAAAATCAAATTCTGAGTAGAATTAACTAGATATGTATGCTGCTGAAATCTGTACTGACTCCGTATCAATAATTTCTCAGCCCACCCATGGTTAGCACTAATGCAAACATTTATGCTTACAAAGTGTTCTAGATAGAGGGTCTCAAAATTTTTTCCTAAAAGCATGTGGTTATGAATGCTTTTCTAGTAAAGACAGATCTAAGATATATGAGTTTAACTTCATTTGCAGAGGTTTAACCTCTAAAAATAAATTCCCACAACCTCACAAAGCATCAGATTAAAGCTGTGTAATGGGTTGAATGGTGCCCCCAAAAGATATTTCCATGCTAGAGAAACTATGAATTTGACTATTTGGACAATCAGGCCTTTACAGATGCAAAAAAAGTATCCTGAGATGAGACCATCCTGGATTACCTGAGTGGGCCCTAAGTCTAATTACAAGTGTCTTTATAGGAGACAGAAGAGAAGACAGATAGGGAAAAGAGGACACGTGAAACCGGCAGAGACTGGAACCATGCAGCCACAAGCCAAAGAAGTCTGGAGCACCAGAAGCTGGAAGAGGCAAAGAACATATTCTTTCCAAAAGCTTTCAAAGGGAACAAAGCACCTTGATTTAAGACTTCTTGCCTTCAGAACAGTGAGATAATTAATTTCTGTTATTTTGAGCTACCATTTGTGACAATTCACTCAGCTGCCCTAAAAGCTCATATAGGCAGCACAAGGCAGAGGAAGTAACCTTGGAGTCACTTAGATGAGCACAGAGCAGGCCTCAACGTGGGACTGGATCCTATGCCTCTCCCTATCCTCTTCCCAGCTCCACTGCCCCCCCTACAAACACCCACCCCATGGTATTACTTTCAATCCTGAACATATAACGCAGTGAATCTTCTCAACTAGGAGCAATTGTGCCCCCCAGGGAACATTTGGTTCTGTTCAGAAGTCCTGACTTGGGTGAGGGTACCACTGGCATCTAGAGTTAGAGGGCCAGGAAGTTATTACACGTCACACAATATCCAGCCAGCTCTCCACAATGAAGAACAACAAAGAACTGTCTGATCCAACATAGTCATGAGACTGCTATAAAGTATCAGTGGTAATCAAACAGATATGATCCAGTAATTCAATTATTCATTTGTGCTGTAAATCTCCATGTACTCAGTCAGAGGACTATAGAAGCGTAGTGAAATTTTTTACTAACAGTATATGGGGAAAGTTGCAGGGGGAAAGTCCCGATATTTCTCCTTGTCACAGTTATACATCATGGAAAACTGGGTAAACTTATCTAATCGGAGATATTCAAAATTAACTATCCATACTGTTTTGACCCACAGGGAACTGACAATTATTATCAGCTCATACATGCCTTCAATCTTTGTCATTAAGGATTCCATTCTTTAGATTTTACTTAACAGAATGCTTAATTCATTTAAACTTTTACATAACTTTCCACAGTGGTGTCTTTCCCCTACAACACATTACCATGCAACATAAGAACTGCCCACAGAGAAAGACTTTTCCTATAAGTAGAGTCATAGCAGGTGAAGGACAGCATAAATCCTGAACAATGGCTCTATAAATCTTAGTGCTGTGAAAGAACTTAACAGTCTCACCTAGAATCTGAAGGAATTCTTAATATTATGGGGGTCTCAATATTATAATGGAAATCAATATTTCAGAGTTAGATGAAGAAAGATTATTTTTTAAAGTCAAGTTTTCAAAAATATATAAGAATCAATATTGGGGGAGGCAGGGAGAGGCACTATACTTTTAGGATTCCTTAATGGAAACTAAGTTATTAATGCACCAAATTGACTATAATATATGGCTATAAAAATGTTTCATAAATGTTTAAAATATGCCTCTCTTTATTAATATTTAACAACCCCATTCAAGGAGCTAACAGTATTACTTAATAACACCAGAGAATTTAATATATATTAGCAGAGACATTTCAGATTCATCATGAGGTACTCGTTTTAGTTTTAATCCATACTGCTAATAAAAAGCAAAACGAGGCAGGGAAAATGCAATGCTCTCAGAAAACAGAGTCTGGAAGTTCTGTATTGAAATATAAACCATCTCCCAGATATTCTGAAGTAGATTAATTAATAAGCAGACTTAAATTTGAAACATCATAATGAATGACAGTATGACAGTAAAATTCATCATATGCAAAAATAAAACTCAAAAGAATGCAAAATAATGTAATTTGTGTTTTTGAAAAACAAAAAAACCCCCACAAACCTAAATCCAGACTGCTTTTGGTTAACGAATTAAGATTTTCCAGATCCTCAAACCTACCTTGTTGACTATTTCCTTCAGTTAAGGGTATAGTGGATAGGGAATCAATGCCAAAATTTTCTTTCATCTTGACAGGAAGAAAAACAGAAATGCATTAGTACTTTATGATAAAATGTGGAACACTGTAATATTGTTCAAACCAGATAATGATAGTAGAAAACCGGCCCTGCAAACAGGCCTTCTCAAGAACAGCTTTTACTCAACCAAGTAATAACAAATGTTGACAACTCAGTATCTACAAGAGTACAGGCTAGTAAAATCTGTTTTTTCCAAACAATATTTTAAGTGAAAATACTGTTTCATAAACATCAATAAGTATATTTAAATAGACACTCACTAAGGTAGAGGAATAAAAGATTCAAGCCAAGCACGATCAATGGCTTTATACACAGTATCTACTGGATAATGTTTGATCACATTGCTGATCCGAAACACCTGGTGAATTTTGATTACTCTGAGCCTTTGCTATGCTCTCTCTAGCACACTTCTCTGCCTAGTGACCCCCAGTTATCCAAACATAAAGATAAGCACAGCGGATAATTTATGGCACTTTCCTCTTGTCTTCCTTTTACAGACGTCTTTTATGGTTTTCCAGTTATAATCTTCCAGAACATACCATTTTCACTGATGTAGTTTATGGTATCTTTTTAAACTTTTATAAACATAAAATTAAATGATGACATTATGGCCACCATAAGGACATACCTTAATTCATTAATGTGAATTACACTATGTTATTCTCTACTGTTGATAATTTAGATTGTTCCAAACAAGAATGTGAATTATATCTTTTTATAATGGTCCATGTTTTCTCATTAACTTATATTGGTCAGATTTCAATGGTAATAGAAGGACCTCTCATAAACTAATATACCAAATACTACAAGCTTTTTCAATGCAGATTGTGAATATAGTTAGCATGTAACTATACCCAACACCTAATGGAGGCTACACAGCATAGAATTGAAATCAAATATTAAGTAGGGATTAGAAATAAGCTCTTACTACTTAGTTGCCTATATATGGAAGGGAGTAAGATGATAGGCACTGAGTACTTAAAAAAAACAAATCTTACAGCAATTTTTAGGCATTGGGCTTTTTTCTTAAGTTCATAGCAATGATGTAACTGAAGAATAAGAGAATTGATACCTGAATCTGAAAGCTCAGTATAGAGGGTATAAGAGGTTAGATCTTTAGAAAAATGAATTGTTTTTCTTTTTTTCTAAATAGAGAAGAAAACAATACAAAATTACTCTCAGGTAATAATCCTCAGGGAAAAAGAATCATATCTTTAAAAAATGTGCAAAGGACTTGAGAAGTCATTTCTACAAATATATGAAGATGGCATAAGCACAAGAAAAATGGTTCCACATCATAATAATTAGGGAAATGAAAATCAAAAGTACAATGAGATACCATTTCACACCTATTAACAAAAGAAAACAAAAGTGTTGGTGAGCATGTGGTAAAATTAGAAAACATGTGCATTGCTGGTGGGAATAGAAAATGGTGCAGCTGCTGTGGAAAACAGTATGATGGTTCCTCAAAAAATTAAACATAGAATTACCAAATGATCTAACAATTTCACTTCTGGGTATATGCCCCAAAAAATTTAAAGCAGGGATTTGAACAGATAATTGTACCCTAATGCTCATAATAGCATTACTCACTATAGCCAAAGGTAAAAACAACCCAGAAACGCATCAAATATTACTGGCCTTCAAAAAGAGAAAATTCAGACACATACTATAACATGGATGAATTCTGACATCATGCTAAGTGAAACAGGTCTGACACGAAAGGTCAAATATTGTATGCTTCCACTTATACGAGGTACCTAGAGTAGTTAAACTTTTGGAGACAAAGAGTAGAATTGCGGTTGGTTACCAGAGGATGAGGGAAGTGGAAAATGGGCAGTTATTGTTTAATGGGTACAGTTTCAGTTTTGGAAGATGAAAAAGCTCTGGAGATGGATGGTGATGATGGTTGTACAACAATGTAAGTGTATTTAATGCCACCGGAACTGTAAGCCTAATCATGGCTAAAATGATCAATTTTATGTTCAGTTTCCCCTTATCTGGAGGGGATATGTACCAAGACCCCTAGTAAATGCCTGAAACCATGAATAGTACTGAACTCTAGATATACAGCTGACCCTTGAACAATGTGGGGGTTAGGGGTGCTGACATCCTGTGCAGTCAAAAATTCATGAAGACTTAACTGATACTAGCCTACCGTTGACCAGAAGCCTTACCAATAACATAAATTATTGGTTAATACATACTTTGCATGTTATATATATTACATGCAATATATATATATATACATACTGTAATCTTACCAATAATGTAAGATTAGAGACAATATCCTTTCCAATTACTGAAAATCTCCAAAAAATATTCCAATGTTTACTGAAAAAAACTGCATGTAAGTGGGCCTGCACAGTTCAAACCTGTGTTATCTGAGTCAACTGCACAGACTTTCATATATATATATATATATATATATATATACACACACCAATGATTAAGTTTAATCTACAAATTAGGCATAGTAAGAGATTAACAATATAATAACTAATAATAGAACAATTTTACAATAAGTAAAAGTTATGTGAATGTGGTCTCTCCCACTCCAAATATGTTATTGTACTGTACATAGCCTTCTTGTGAGGGTGTGAGATGATAAAATGCCTATGATGGAGGCATTTTGAAATGGCATAATGAAATTAAGTGAGGTAGATTAAAGATGGTGGTATGAGAGGTGAGACAGAGGCTTATAATACAAAATATAATTAATATGACTAATCCTGAAAGAACAACAGTAAAAAGGGCTGTGCCAAATTGCATACACCTGAGAAAAGAATAAACCTCATAGAACAAGGTAATGTTTCAAAGCTGTGGCCCACCAGGACCCCACCCATGCTCACTGGTGGGAGGAAGAGAAATGGAGCGGGAAAGGAGTAGAGGCCTGGGACTGCTCAACACCTAACTCTGGAGATCTGCTATGGGAGAACAAACCTACATTTCACGGTGCTTTCATGGTACTCTCGTGATAAGGGGGTTGGAAAGCTAAGACAGGCAGAATACCTGGAGATACTGAGACTCCAGCCTCTTGTGGAAAGCAAAGATCCATATCTGGCTGTTCTGGGAAAAAAGAAAGGCAGGCAGTCTGAGAGACTTTCTAATAGCAAGAGGACTGCTAAAGGGGCAAGGATTGCCCAGAGCTTACTACTCAGGAGAAAGGACAGGTAGACAAAATTGTCTGGGTGCACTCTGCCTAGCAGGTTGGGAACTTTCACGATCTTCAGGTGCTCCAGGTCCCTGGCTGGCTACACAGCTCCAAGGACCCCCTCTGTGATACGCAGCCTACTGCACCTTTCTCCCGGCCAGCCCCACCTGACTTGCAAATGGGCAAACTCTACCCAGGTGTTAGGCCACCCAGAGGGAAGCCCCATTTACAGCAAATATAAACGCAAAGCATAGAGGCTTATACCTGTCTGTTCAGCCAACTGGTTCTAGCAGTGGAGGCAGGCATAGCAGCCAGGAAGCAGGAAACAGCTCTTTCCTCCCCCCAGGCAACAATACTGCTCCCCTGTGGCCCCAACATTGATTCAGGGGCTGGGCAGCTACAAAGAGAAGAGCTTCTGGGCACTAGAGGGTGCATTATACAAATATGAAACACCAAAGAAACCTGGTTCAAAGTAAGATTATGAATACGACACCTGCGAAAGATTCAAATGAAATTGACCTCATGAATCTTCCTGAAAGGGACTTCAAAATAAAAATCATTGATATAGAAAATATTCAAGGACTCAGGAATGAATTCCGGTTGGAGAGCCAATCATTGAAGAGCACAATGGTGGTTATTAAAAGCAGATTAGATATGGTGGAGGAGACAATAAATGAAACAGAAATTAAAGAAGAGGAAAACAAAGAAGTTGAGGCACAGAGAGAAAAAAGGATCTCTAAGAATGAAAGAATATTGAGAGAACTGTGTGACCAATCCAAATGGAGCAATGTTCGCATTATAGGGGTATCAGAAGAAAAAGAGAGAGAATAGAAAGTAGAATAGAAAGTGTCTTTGAAGAGGTAATTGCTGAAAACTTGCCCACTCTGGGGAAGGAGATCGTCTCTCAGGCCAAGGAGGTGCACAGATCTCCCAACACAAGGGACCCAAGGAAGATAACACCAAGACATATAGTAATTAAAATGGCAAAGATCAAGGAAAAGGTCAGACTATTAAAAGCAGCCAAAGAGAGAAATAAGATCACAAAGGAAAGCTCATTAGGCTATCATCAGACTTCTCAGCAGAAACCTTACAGGCAAGAAGGGAGTGGCATGATGTATTTAATGCAATGAAGCAGAAAGACCTCAAACCAAGATTACTTTATCCAGCAAGATTATCATTTAAATTTGAAGAAGGGATTAAACAATTTCCAGATAAGCAAAAGCTGAGAGAATTTACCTCCCACAAACTGTCTCTACAGTGTATTTTGGAGGGTCTGCTATAGATGGAAGTGTTCCTAGGTTTAATAGCTGTCACCAGAGGTAATAAAGCCACAGTAAAGAAAGTAGAACTGTTAATTACTAAGCAAATGCAAAATTAAATCAACTTTCCCCAAAGTCAATCAAGGGATAGACAAAGAGTACAGAATATGATACCGAATATATAAAGAATGGAGGAGGAAGAAAAAGGAGAAGTAAAAAACAACCTTTAGATTGTGTTTCTAATAGCATATTGAGTGAGTTAAGATGACCCTTAGATAGTAAGGAAGTTAACCTTGAACATTTTGTAACCACAAATCTAAAGACTGCAGTGGCAATAAGTACATACCTATCGATAATCACCCTAAATGTAAATGGACTGAATGCACCAATAGAGTCACTGAATGGATAAAAAACAAGACCCAACTATAAGCTGCCTAAAAGAGACTTATGTTAAACACAAAGACATACACAGACTAAAAGTGAAGGGATGGAAAAAGATATTTCATGCAACTAATAGGGAGAAAAAAAGCAGGAGTTGCAGTTGTATCAGAAAAAATAGACTTCAAAACAGAGAGAG